TGGGATCATGACCTGTGCTAAAAGCAGGCACCCAACCGACTGAGCCACCCAGGCGCCCCTTGATCTTATTTTCTTACCTCTTTTCCTGAGCATGAATGCTTTCAGTATCTGTTTGACTCATGCAGGCAAGTAATTTATTTTCTTGTATGTAGTTTTGTTGGCTCCTTTCTGAGGCTTCCATTAAGGTCTGAAATCTCAAAGACCTTCAGTTCATGTGACTTTATGGCTCTAGTTGTAATAAAAGTTTAAAACATGCATGAATAAATGCTGTTATTTTTTGAATAAATGAACCCTATGTTTAAAATATTAAGTCTTTAAAGAATTTTTTCAACATAATACATGCACATTAATTTTAAAAATCACTAAGTACAGAAAGGCTTAGTGAAACAACTAAGACTCATTGATCCATCCTCCATACCCAGTTCCCCAGAGGCAACCACTTCCAGTTCTTCAGTGGTTTCTTCTGGTAGTTTCTATCACATTTCCACCCATGTGCTTTTGCTACAATTTCTTGAGCCATTCACTTTAGATAATAGTTGGTGACTTCTTTGTATGATGGATGTTAGTTTAGTTTTCCTGAACTACCTTTTCTCTTTCTTCAAAAACCCTCATGTTACTGGGGCACCCGGGTGGCTCCGTCGGTTAAGCATCTGACTCTTGATCACAGCTCAGATCCATCTCAGGGTCATGAGTTCAGGCCCTGAGTTGGGCTCCACACTGGACATGGAACCTACTTAAAATAACAAAACAAAACACTCATGTTGCTATAGTTAAATCACTTTGTTAAAGGAGTATTCAGTGTTTTAGTTAGTAGAAATGTGTAAATATAGTTCTTTGTATAGTCAAGTAGTAAACTATGAATAACATGTCCTTCCTGGAATACCTTTTTGTTTCCCTGGAATTTCTAATTCCCTTAAAAAATTCTTACTCTAACTACCATCTACCTACCAGATAAAATATATAATGTTACATAATATAGTATTATAGTAGAATATAATTATAGTACAATATTAAAATATAGTATATATATTATAGTATTATAGTATATCTAATTTATAATAGTGAAATATATAATGTTATTTGATATATGTTTACTATCTGGTAGATAGATGGTATATCTGGTAGGTACATACACACATACATATATATATAAAATATTATTATGAATATTTTACCAGATTTTTATATAATACAGTTGATCCTTGAACAACCTGGATTTGAACTGCGTGTGTCCACTTACACACAGAATTTTTTCGATAAATACAGTACAATGCTATTTTTGTATTTTCTCTTCCTTATGATTTTCTTTTCTTTTTTTTTTTAAGATTTTATTTATTTATTTGAGAGAGAGAGAGAATGAGAGATAGAGAGCATGAAAGGGAAGAGGGTCAGAGGGAGAAGCAGACTCCCCGCGGAGCAGGGAGCCTGATGCGGGACTCGATCCCGGGACTCCAGGATCATGACCTGAGCCGAAGGCAGTCACTTAACCAACTGAGCCACCCAGGCGCCCCTTCCTTATGATTTTCTTAATAACATTTTCTTTAGCTTTATTGTAAGAATATAGTATATGATACATATAACATACAAAATATGTGTTAATTGTTTATATTGTCTGTATTCTGGTCAACAATAGGATGTTAGTAGTTAAGTTTTTGGGAAGTCAAAAGTTATATATATACACATATGTATACATATAATAAATATATAATTTTTAGATTATTTTATTATATATAATAAACGTGTTTTATAGTATGTTATGAGACTTTCACATAATTTATAAAATCTTAAAATTATTTTATTTTAATTTAATTTTTTACTGTGTATAATAAATAGATCCATTTCCTCCCCAGACAAACGTGCTATCCTATCAGGTTTCCTACTGAGACTTCTCTTTCTCTGGAGACGTCTCTTCCAGGGCTGATACTATGTGAACCAGTCATTCTGAAGGCCTGTTGTTCATCTGTCATCCCAGAGCCTCCATTTACTACTCCTGGATTGGATCCACTGTTTCCTATGTCCCATATCTTTTGGTTTATTCCTTTATTTTGCTAGAGGAAGTTTTCAAGTAGTTTTCAAATACATGTATGGGAAATAAATGTTCTGAGTCTTCTGGCATCCTGTGCATTACTCCTCAGAAATCTGATGCCATCTTGAATTTCATTTGTGGGCACAGAATGGAACAGATGAGTGAAGTTAACCAGATCCAGCCCTTCTGGATGTGTATGTGAATGTGCCTGGTTGGTGGGGGTGGTGAGGGGTTGTGAGGGGGTTGGTAGGAAGTATGTGTGTAGAGGCAAGGTTAGCAGAGGGAGGTATGACCTGGAGGAGCCTCGTTTTAAATGTAGGAAGCACACAAATGTGGCTGCCTTTGGTTGTCTCACTCTGCTAAAGAACCCCAATTATTGGTTTGAAGTCAATGTACAGGGTGATTTTCAGGAACAACCTCATATTGGCCTGGTCATATCCATCTGTGCATATCCAGGACACAGATGACAGGCTGATCACCTCTGGGGTACCATGCATAGAGGCACTTGACAGGCTAGGCAGGGAGGCTGGACATGGCAGGGGACATGGGCAGTCCCCCAGCTGGGTCCAGAGACCAGTGGTGGAAGCATTGGATGGCAGCATGGCTCAGCTGTAGTGTGTGAGGATAACAGGAATTTGTTTGCTGCATGAACATGGGTGATTGCCAAAGAATTCAGTGGGGTTCTAGGTTGCATTTAGTAAAGAAATGGCCTCCCGGCCAACAGAGTCAGAAGTCTGCTCAGCTTTACAAGGGGGCAGTTCACAGCTAGAGTATATGGTTCTGATCTGGGTGTATGTTGTTCTCTAGTGAATTTCTCACCCTTAAATGTTCATTTCAAAGATTTTATTTATTTATTTGAGAGAGAGAGAATGAGAGATAGAGAGCACGAGAGGGAAGAGGGTCAGGGGGAGAAGCAGACTCCCTGCTTAGCAGGGAGCCCGACGCGGGACTCGATCCCAGGACTCCAGGATCATGACCTGAGCCGAAGGCAGTCGCTTAACCAACTGAGCCGCCCAGGCGCCCTTAAATGTTCATTTCAAATGCTCCTTTCTATGTAGAGCTTTCCTGGACACCTCCCTTGCCCATAATTTATTTATTTGTCTGGATTCTTGGTCTCTATTTGCTTACCGCGTTGCTGTAACATACGTCCCTCTCCTCTATTGAGTCACATTCCCCAAGGATTCTCAGACAGGTCACTTCATCTCTGTGATGTCGAACCTGCTGGTTCTGGCTCCGTCTTTGTCACTGGGCTTTGTAAAGATCAGATGAGGTGTACATTATGGTGTACAAAAAGCAAATGGGAGATCATGTTATTTCCTGTGCATTTGTTCATGTCATACTGAGTAGCAGCTTCAGATTCACAAGCCAGTTAAGAAACCATTGTCCCTAGCATCTGTGTAGCATCTCTACTTTCATATGTCCTGAATTTCTCAGTGGGGTAAAAAAAGCTTGCTATTTATTCTCTAACTTCCTCAGCACTGGGACCTTTTTTTCAGCTAATTCTTTTGCCTCTCTTCCCTGAAGTCCTTAAGCTGTCACTGCTTAGCTGCGCTGTCGTATGGCTGCATCCTCTGTGACTCTGGAGGCCAAGGATCAAGGAAGTGGGCAGGGCCTTCCCAGAGCAGTTTGGGCTCTCTGAGGCACCAGGCGTGGCCTGAGTTTGGGATTTGCAAACCCAGGTCCTAGGAACTGCGCTGTATTTGTACTAAACCCAAAGGGGTTACTTGAGTACAAAAGGTCTGCTTCCCCTGGTGCTGGACAGTGACCGTTCCACTTCTCTGTGCTGCATGATGGGGCAATTGAACACTGGCCTACTGAGTCTGATGGACGTGGCAGGGCCGCAGGCCCATATCCTTGCACCGACCATCCGGGGCCCAAAACCAAGCTTGACCAGAGATGCCCTGTATGTCCTGCTGGGCTCAGCCATTGATCTCAAATCCTGGAGGCACTGGGTTCTGAAAGCTAAACTTGGGGGAGCTCCCAACATCAGCCACATGCTGTGCCAAAGCCAGCCCTCTCTGAGTGACCCTCCCCCAAATCCTCTTGTGAAACCAGGTCTCCCAGCCTAGACTCCTTTCCTCAAAGCCATTTTATTTAAGGAGACTTCTCGCCATTTCCTGGCACTGGGTCTTAGCTTGGGACTTGCAGGACAACCACAACATGAGTCTGGAAAACCAGGAGTTCAGATTTCTATTTCTTCCTTCCAAGAAGGCTCCTTATGCACAATGACCATCCCTTCCCTGGTGACCAAGCTTTACATACCGGAGATCTCAGTCATAAAGGGTCTTTATGTACCTGTGGCTGTGGGTATATGCTCATCCTGTCTTTGCTTAACTAAATCACCCCGAGGATGACTGCATTTGGAAAAGAAGCTTGGCTTCTTTGGATTAAAATACTGTGCCCAGTATAAATATGACATGGCCATCAACTGCAGGGAATCTGGGATAGCCTAGATGGGAGAGGCAGCCTGGCTGTGGGCACAACACACACGAGTGGACCGTGTCAAATTTCCTGGGGCCTTCAGCAGTGGTGAAGATGTTGAGGAAAAAGCAAGAAGCCATGGACCCAGGGAGAGACCTGATGTAGTGGTGCAGAAACTCTGGGGGACCTTGCATCTGGAATGGGCCTCACTCTGTGAGCCCCCTGCTGTTGCAGGGTCTGTGCACCCATGGAGGCAGGTGTGCAGGGTGTTGTGGCATCATTTCGAATTGTGGACTAGGTAGCTTTGGAGGATATCTTCCAAGTGTGAGATTCTGTGAAAAATGACAAAATCGAGGCCATGAAACTTCATCTCTGCATGTAACAGCCTCTTAAAATCTTCAGTTGTACCCAGGACTTGGTACACCCCAGATGTGTCATTTAGGACATTTCCCTCAGTCTTTGTGCACAGTTATTAGCCTTTTTTTTTTTTTTTAAAGTTTCTTCTGGTTTATTTCTCTTCCCTCTCATACTCTATATTTTCTTGTCACTTCAGCTTTTGAATCGAAAAGACAAGACCACCTTTGAGAAATTGGACTACCTGATGTCTAAAGAAGATAATTATAAGCGGACCCGGGAATATATCCGAAGCCTGAAGATGGTTCCCAGTATTCCCTATCTAGGTAGGAGTCTGAATTGGCTTATTATTTATTAAGAAACCTGCTCAGTGCCAAATGAGATGTTTTTACAGTTTCTAGTTGAGAAATTTCCAGAAGCAGCATGGGCCATGGATAAAGAGGTAATTGGTTAGCTCCTCAGATTGGAACAGGCCTTCAATACTTCCCAAGGATGGGAACCTTGCTGAGCGCCTTGAAACAAGCGATATTGTGCTTCTTATATAAGTAACTTGTGAATCACAAGCCTCCCCAGCCTACAGCTCAGAAGGGTCACAAGGTTCATCCACATCCTCTTGAATTAGGGGAACTCAGGGCCAAACTCCTCTGTTCTGGATCTCTGGGCATTATTAATATATTTTATAAGATTTATACCAACAAAATTGTAATGATTATTGATTTTTCTGATCAGAAAATAATATATGTTCATTGTAAGGGATTAGGGGAAGAAAATCAATATCATTTGTCTCCCCACATAGATATAATCAGTGTTTTGCATCATATCCTTTCATTTGTTTGGGTGCATATAAAAATCCATGTTTATAGTGAACATTTATTGTTATTACCCACATTTCTATACTATGTCTCAATCCCATTGCATGGATTTGCCAAACTTGAATTTGCTAACATTGACATTTAGGTTGATTCTACATTTTTGTTATTAAAATGTTGCAGTGAGCATCCTTAGTGCAAAAACCTCTTGCATATAGTTATGATTATTACCTTACAATAAATTCTTAGTGTCATTATTGGGGCAAAACATATGCAGATTTTTGCTTTTTTATGTATGTTTTCAAAACGCTCTCCATAGAGGCTGTAGCAACTTACATTTTCATTGCAAGGGGTTAAAATGATCTGTTTTTCCCATGTGAACAAATACTGTGTATTTTCGTCTATGTGGGTTTTTTTCTTTTCCTTTCTCTCTCTCATTTTTTTTCCTTTGCCAATTTGATAGGTGAAAAATACTTCTTATAGTTTAGGTTTCATGGTAATGCTAATTTTATGAAAAATATTTCTGTCTTTTTATGACCTAAAAATAACACTAATAATAAGGAAAATTAAGAGTTTATAGAAGTGGCTCCCTAATATTTTCAGAGATCTAGTGTTAATTTCTTGGAGGTACATTTTTGACAGCTTACAAATATCTTCCATGAACATTGTTTTCTAATTCCTTTTTTTTTTTTTTTTTTTTGAGAGAGAGAACACGAGTGGGGGGTAGGGCAGAGGAAGAGGGAGACTCTTAAGGAGGTTCCATGTCCAGGATGGAACCCAGTGTGGGGCTCAGTCCCATGAACCTGAGATCATGACCTGAGCCGAAATCAACAGTCGGACGCTTACCTGACTGAGCCACCCAGGCCGCCCCTGTTTTCAAATTCTTTTAAAGTCATTTTGGGAAATTTAATTTTCATAGAAAATTGTCCACTTGACCCAAGTTTACAGAATTATTTGCATAGAGTTCTTTTCCTCATTTAGTTTTCTTTGACCATAGTTTTCTTTAATATTATCCTATAAATTTTAACCTCCTACGTAAGGATGTTTGTATTTGCTTTGCATTCCTGACAGTTTGCATTTTTGTTTTGTCTTTCTTTTTTTCATTTGCTTTGTCAGAGATATGTGTGTTGGTCTTCCCAGAGAATTAGACTTTGTATTTATCAGTCACGTTGTCCTTCTGCTTTCTAGTTTGCTATATTCTGTCATCCTAAGATCTGCTTTTCGTCTCCACATTTTAGCACTTCTGAAGTTAGGATGCATCTTTCAATTGATGGCAGACAAAGCATTGTGACATTGTTTAATTGGCAGCAATTTTTCGTAGTTATACATAACTGTGTTTTAGAATGATGTCCTGTATTTGATGAAATATGGACTATCTGCTTTTGTCTTTTATAGTTCATCTCTCCTGTTTTCCTTACAATTGTTTTGTTATTTCTGTTAACTACTTTGGTTGTATTATTGGCTCATTTGTATAAATACTACTCTCTCCACTTTAATTTGGAAAACAGTTAAGGGCGTACATTTTGTCCTGATGGCTGCTACATGTTTTGTGATACAGTGTTCTCGGTGGTATTCTTTTTTTTTTTTTTTTAAAGATTTTATTTATTTATTTGACAGAGAGAGACACACAGCGAGAGAGGGAACACAAGCAGGGGGAGTGGGAGAGGGAGAAGCAGGCTTCCCGCCGAGCAGGGAGCCCGATGCGGGGCTCGATCCCAGGACCCTGGGATCACGACCTGAGCCGAAGGCAGACGCTTAACGACTGAGCCACCCAGGTGCCCCTCTCGGTGATATTCTTTAAATATTCTGTGATTATAGTTTCAGTTTTTCTTTTATCCACATAATAGTTAAGGTAGTGTTTTTTTTAATTTTTAAGGGCTTTAATTTTCTTCTTGTTTTCAAATGGCTTTATGGAGATAGAATTTACCTCCCATCCATTTAGAGTGTCCAGTTCGGTGGTTTTCAGTCTATTCACAGAGCTGTGCAGCCATCAACACAATTTTGCAACATTTTCATCATCCCGAAGACAAACCCCGCACCCATTAGCGGTCACTCCCTTTTCCTTCTGGCCGGCTCTCTTCTGTTCTCACCCCCAGCCCTTGGCAACCGCCCATCTACTTTCTGTCTCCATAGATTTGCTTATTCTGGACATTTCATAGAAATTTAATTGCACAGTATGTGGTCTTTTATGACTGGCTCTTTCCCCTGTACTATCATGTGCCCGAGGTTCATCCATGTTGGAGCATAATCGCTCCATTCCTTTGCATTGTCAGATAACATTCCATTGTGTGGAAACCCCACATTTTATTTATTTATTTGATGGACATTTGAATTGTTTCACTTTTTGGCTCTCACACATCATGGTGCTATGAACAGCTTTGGTTTTTAAAAACACAGTCTTCTAATTTTTTTACATGGGTTTAGGATATGTGGCATATATGCTTTCTAGGTTTAAAAAAAAGTTTAACATTTGTTTTGTGGTTTAACATAAGATCATTTTTTGTAAATGTTTCATGGGTGCTGGAAAAGAAGGTGAAATCTCTCAAATTACTCTTATAATTGCACTAGAATATTTAAATGATTTGTGACAACTTAGTCTATCAAGGACAGAAATATATGTTGGACTCCCCTTGCATTTCTGATAGCTTCTGCCTTACGTTATTTAGTACATAGAAGTTTGTAACAATTGTATGGGGCGCCCGGGTGGCTCAGTCGTTAAGCGTCTGCCTTCGGCTCAGGTCATGATCCCAGGGTCCTGGGATCGAGCCCCGCATTGGGCTCCCTGCTCGGCGGGAAGCCTGCTTCTCCCTCTCCCACTTCCCCTGCTTGTGTTCCCTCTCTCACTGTCCCTCTCTCTGTCAAATAAATAAATAAAATCTTAAAAAAAAAAAGAAGTTTATAATAATTGTAAATTTATGGTGAAGTGTCCCATACGAAATGGTCTTGATTCTGTTCGTTACTTGCGTTACTTCTTTGTCTGATATTACTTCTGTGAAATCTGTTTTATTTCTCATTTGCATTCATTTTATAAACCTTTGACTATATTTTGGGTTTGAATATTTTAGATTGCTTTAAGTGTGATCCTTGAAAACTGCAATTAGTTGAACCCAATATGAGAGATCTTGCCTTTTAGTAAGGGAGTACTCTTCCACATACTTTTAGCCTTATGCCATCTTATTATTGCACGTACTTTTAGCCTTGTGCCATATTATTGAATCGAACATCATTCTATGGTTTCTTTTTTATGCTTTCTTATTCTTTCCTTGTTCTTCTCTATGGCTTCTGCAGTGTCTTTCTACTTGACATGCAGATCACTACCTCAGATTACAGTGGGAGGGCATGTTGATACGCATAGCTCACAAACCCATTCCCACTTTGCCCGAGGCTAATCAACTGAGGGATGAAATTAGATAGTATTAGGGCGAGGGTTGCCTACTGCAGGCGCAGTGGTTCAACTAGCAGAGGTGCTCCCAGATTGTTAGGGATGACCTCTTCGCTGTTCCTAAGAATGATCATGAGAGCTGCCGTTTATTGTCTGCTTTCTCTATGCCTGGCACTTTGCTAGGCATTGTAATGCATTATCTCAATGAATACTCACAAGGGCCCAGTGAATACGCAGGCGCTGAGAGGTTGCCTAGGGTCACATAACTAGAGAGTGGCAGAGCCAGGACTTGGCCCACATGGTCTGGCCATAAGCCCTAAACTCTTGACACTGCCTTCTCCTGATGCCCGCCTCCACTGTGCTGGTTATTATTTTCCTATTCCTCCCTTGCAGTTGGCACCTGTGTGTTCTCTGCCATTTATAACTTGTGGGTGGCCTCCATCAGACACTATATGAAGTCGGATGAATTGTGTTGACTCTTTCTTGTGACATTCTCTGTTCTTGGACCTCAAGGCGGTGCTGTGTTGGGCTTCTGAGGGCAAAGCAGACCAATACTGTCTCCCCTTTCTGAACCCTGTCCCCTGTAATCAGACCACGTGTCTGAGTCATCTCCTCAGGCCACTGGCCAGAGGGCCCTCGTCCATTACCCAGTGGCTCTCGTGGTCTGCACTTGCAGTGGACGCGTAGCCTGGGCCAGCCCCGAGTTTCTAGAGCCGTGGCCCTCCTTGTCCTTGATGTCCTCATCTCAGCAGCCTCTTCCTGGAATTAGGTAGCGGAGAGGCTCTGTTTAGGCCTTGGTGTGGCTCAGCGCTCCTGCTTCTACCTCCAAGAGCCCCGCTTAGCTGCCCTGCTCTGTGCTTGCAGCCTGATGGCGATTTCCGTCCCCCCTCAGCCAATTGGGCTGCATTTCTCACGCTCATACAGAACAACTCTTGACATACCCCAGCAAGAGGGAGAGAACAGGAGGGGATGCCAACATGCTTTCTGTTCTCAGGGCTGTGTGAGGGTTTGACCAGGGGGGTGCCACAGTTTCGTTAAAAAGAAGGAAGCAAGATCCCATTCTGAGGCTTAGTGGGCCCATCGTCCTGAGGGCAGCTGGGGCCCTACCTGCCCACCTGATCACCATGGACAGACC